TCAAACTCCAATGACTTTGTAGTGGCTCAATAAGCTCGGGAATTAACATTAATCTGCAAATTCCTACAAAAATAATACCAACTCTACAAAAACACTAGAAAAAGTATATTAGTAATAAAAATAGTTTCGTAGAGCTCAAATATTCACAAATATGACCGTGGAACGGGGAATAAAATATATATATATAATAGACTGATCACATGTTAGGGTTAAAGCTTTGATTTTTATTGTTTAGTGACATGCTAGGGTTTGTTATTAATCTTGTTAGTATCATGCCTATGATCTTGCTATTATTATTATGCTTTAACATGATTATTTTTATTATGATTATTTTTATATAATTGTTATGATTGTTATGATTTTGATTATTTTGATTATTATTATGTTGCTTGATGATATTTATTGTTATTGCTTGATCACACCTTTTATGCATGTTTAAAGGGAATTGACACTTGTAATCACGCTTAATAAGATAATTAATAATCTTGTTAGGGTTAATTTGATTATAATTCAAGTGATCGCCAATAATAGTTTTATTTGTGCATTAATATTCAACCAACATAGATAAACAGTTTTAGGGTTAACCTATTGATTGCATGTTAGTCAGAAAGCGCACATGAATACGATCAGAATAAAGTAGAGGCCCATTATTAGGGCAGGTTCAATCTCTTTTAGGTTGGATTTATACCTTCATCCTCGAACCCTATTTTGGTTCAAGACCTTATGGAGTTGACGATCTCTTGGATCGTTAAGGGGTGTAACCTTCACCTCGTGAACGGTTTACAAGTTCCTAAAACTTGTTGGCGACTCTTTTGCTCTATCTTCTTTCCCTTTGGACGCCACCGTACTTTAGTGTATGATCACAGTAGGGTTCAAGCTAGGGGATTAACGCTTGAAATATTCCCTACAATATGTAGTTTTTACAATTACTATATGGTATGACACATTGTTCGTTTTTTATATAATCCTTGTTCCCATTCTTTTCTTAGTAATGCATGTTTAGTTGCACAACTTTTTGTGAAACATCGATCACAACATGATTATCGTGGATATCTTCCATCCATGGAGGAAAAATGGCGTAAATATTACACCGATATTCCTATGATTTATATTTTTGCTTCTATTTTAGATTCTAGGAAAAAATATGATGACACTTTTTTTATTAATTGATATTTGTTATAGTAACATGAATTTTGAAGATGATGTTGAAACTTTTAAAAATAAGGTGACTAATGAGTTTATTTCTTTATATAGAGTTTATGAAAGTAAATATGGAACCGTGTCTCGATTTTCCCCTTCTCAAACATCCAAAAATGTAAGTAAACGGGTCAAAGGTTTATTTGCACAAGCTGCTAACATGATGTCCAAGTTTTCAAGTACGGAATCATCATCAAGTAAGAGAACACAAAGCGATGTTTCGGAGTTGCAAATGTACCTAAGTTATAACTTCATGAAAGGCATGGACGATGAAGAGAAATTTGGCCTCGACATCCTTGATTGGTGGAAATCACAAACCATGAAACATCCAATTTTGTCGGCAATGGCTCATGATATTTTTACTATCCAAGTCTCATCCGTTGCCTCCAAAAGAGATTTTAGTGCGTCGGGACGAGTTTTAGACGATAGAAGAACAAAACTAAAACTCGAAACACTTGAAATGTGTGTTTGCTTCAAGGATTGGTTGGATACCGAAACTCATTCTAAAGATCGTACTTATTCACAAAACGACGACTCCGATGAAGGAATGTCGACTTCTTTTAGTTATCATACTTCTCAATCAACTCAATTGGCCGATGAACTTGAACCACAAGGAGACGAAGACGAAGATGAAGACGAAGGCGAAGGCGAAGACGAAGAAGAAGACGACCAATAATAATTACATTATTACATATTTACATTATACACTATTGTATAATTTTTGTATTATCGAACTTCGTATTCCGTATAATAAATGAAGTTATTCATACACGTCACTAATACACTATTGTACGATTTTTAATTATCATTAATTATTTTGTATTATTGAATTATCGTACCGGCTACCGTCATATAATAAAATAAGTTATTCTTCAATTTTTTGTGTTTTCAGATTATCGCACTCGTATTTTTTTTATTATATGCATTGTTGTTTTTAGCTAAATTAATAAAATTGTTTTTATTTGTTTATATAAACTTAAATATAATTAGATAAATAATTTATATAACCTAAATTAAATTAAAGTTTTTCAAAAAATCTAAACAAAATATATTAACATTAACATAAACATAAATTAATCACATTATTTATATAAAATTAAGGTGTACTAAAAAAAAATATATATCGTTTTTTTTTTTCATTTATTAAAAAAAATTAAAAAATAAATAAAGTGGCACGGTTTGACCCGCGGCCCGGCACGCCACGGCCCGCAAGGCGGGTTGTGCCGTGGGTTGGGGTGTGCCAATTTCAGGCATGGCACGGCACGGCCTGTTGCCCATGTTTAGTGATGATGCTCTTCGCTTCTATTAGATTAAAGTGTTTTTCTTTTTAGAACATAAAACTTGAAACTAAAATAGAGAGTGTTCAATTAATATATTGTCAAGGGATGTTAAATACCACCAACAAAAATGATCAAAACCGCGTACATTTATTGTAAATGGACAACCATGCCCTCAGTACTTCACCACTATTTTCTCTCTTACCACCACTCACTAACACCTTGACACCACCACCTCGGTGACGACCACTACCACCACACTGACCGACAACAATCACCACCATCCCCTCAATGGCGACCCACCACCCTCCCTCGTCGGCGGGAAGATGGTGTTTTTTTTTTTTTTTTTTTTTTTTTTTTTTTAATTTCTGACAACCGTACAACCAGAGCTTAAAACCGGTTACCGGCCTTGATAATTGGTTTTGGGCTCTGATTACCATGGAAACCGGGTACCAGCAACGATAACCAATGCCCAAAACCAGTTACGGTGTGCAGTATTCGAAGCCCAAAACTGGTTACTGTGCATGGTAATTGATTTTTGGCTTCGGTTATCGCGCACATAACCGGTTTTGGGCTCCGGTTACCACGGTTGCTGGAAATAGTAAGGGCATGGTTGTCGTTATAGAGGATGATGTGGTGGGTTGCTAGTCAGGGTGGTGGTTGTCGTCGCCGGTCGGAAGGCATGGTGAGTTGTCGGGGATGATAAGGGGTGGTGAAATAGTAAGGGCATGGTTGTCTATTTACACTAAATGATGGCGGTGGTGATCATTTTAGACGGTGGTGTTTAGCAATTCACATTGTAAATCCCATTAAAATTAAACGTGGTGTGATTTTGGAACTTTCATCCCCCTTTTCATCTTTTGGTATGTTACTCCCTTATTTTTTTTTTTATTTTTTTTTATTTTTTTATGCATCACTTTGATTTTTACATTACTCACATACTGTGGTTGACTTAATTTTTTCACCTCTATAAAATAAATAAATATTATTATATAATATATCATTAAATTAGTCATAATGTCTAGTTTCATAATATAATTTTGTTATAATTTTTACTAATAGACAATTAAAGATATTAATGGTCAAAGTTGCGTCTCAGCAAATATGTCGGTCAAACTGATGCAAATTAAAAATAACAGAGGGAGTATTAAAGATGATTAATTGCTCCTTTTTTGTTTCATTTAATTACTGTGATTTGATCCTTTTTTGTTTTATTCAATTAATATGATTGGTCCCTTTTATTGTTTTCGGATTGCTGACATGGACTATGCATTTTTTTTTTTTTTTTGCAATTTATGTACTTATGTACTTTCCACTCATGTGTATTAAGAAATCTTAAAAAAAATCTTAATTTTTGTGAAAAAAATAGGCATGTAAATAAGAGCACCCGCTGTGGCAAGGATTGTGATCCTTTTAGAGCCACTTTAGGATACTTTTTGGTATCCATACCAATGTTGATTTATCTAGGAGGATCCTATTACACAAAGGAATATACTGTTTCCTTTCCATTGAAAGGATAACTTCCTCGGCCCTATTAAGCGCAAGATTGAGCAAGTAAAGACAAAAAGTGGGTCCTGTATTTGACAAAAAGTAGACGAATTTTACCTTGCAACGGTAACTTAGTTGTCATATGAATTCAGTGCATTACAATTTGAATTCAGTGCATTGCAATGCGAATTCATTGCAAGGATACTCATTGATGTTGGAAATATTTAAGAAATATGATATATAAATAAAAAGATGAAGATAGTGGGAAGTGATGTGGAAGAAAGAGAGTGTGATGTGTTAAGTGGAGGAAAGGAGAGAGAAATTGGGAAAGGATTGTAGCTTCCTCTTGAATGCTGGTGCTCTAATAAACGAAGGAGTAATATTTAGGTATTAAAGCTTGTTAGAGACAATTGACATAATTGATTTCGAAATATATATTAGACTTAAATGAAACCTATTATACGTATTAATTTGAATGGAATCAATTGATCTCTTAGAATATTGATTTGTGTGATGTAACCTTTATTTTTTTTTTTGAAACATTGTGTGATGTAACTTGATTGATTATAAATTATATTCAGAATATATATATATATATATATATATATATATATATATATATATATATATATATATATATATATAGCGATTTAACTTATAAACCTATGGTATAATCGATTAAATATGAATAATGCATGATCTGTGCATTCAGGTGCATCATGAACATGGTGCACCCGGTTAAATAAAAAAAAAAGACAGAAAGAATATTTAGATGTTCGAAAAAGAACGTGTAGGTTTTTGAAAAAGAACATGTTTGTGTTTAACAATAAACATGCATTATTAAAGAACATAAAGACATTACAATAAGAACGTGATAAAAAAACTTTATTAAAATTTTATGAAAAATCACACATTAACGGAAAAAATCTTTACCAAAGATATCCTTTCCCCAAAAATAGTTTCTCTCTCTTCAAAAATTTAACTTTCCATAATAATTTTAGTTCTCTTTCTAAAATATTATTAACTAAAAAAATTCAAGATTTTATTTTCAAATTAAATTTCAAATGTCAAAATTCAAAATAACATATTTTTAGGTTATAAGAACATAAGTTATAATGTAAAAAAACATATACTTCATATCCGAATAACACTGACCAAATTCAAAGAACATGTGATAATAAAAAAATTAAAAAAAAAAAATGATATATGCTAATAAACTTCTAACGCTTGAAATTAAATTAGATAAACTGATAAAGCAGTAAACATAGTTTGTGCTACAACAATAAGCAAACAAATGTAGCAGGGTAATTAAACTATTTAGAAACACAATTTGAGACTGGTAAATGAAGTTCGTTGTCCTAAATAGTTTAGTCCATTGCTATTCCAGATTACTCGAATGCCCACTGGTTCTCCCTGCGAACTTCTTCCTCTTCCTCGGGTGTAAAATCATTCTTGATATTGAAGTGCTTCCTTATCTGCTCGGGTGTCTTTCCCTTGATCATATTCGCCACACACTGACAACTTAAATCTAGCAGACTCTTAATATCCATGTAATTAGCAGCCTGCATTCACACACTCGATCATGAAAATGTAAATACTCCGTAAAAAATTAGCAGTAGTTTACATTTACCACATAAAATTAATTTAGTTATACTCGATCATCAATTATACATTCTAGAATTAACTCTAATTTAATTGAAGGCTTCAAAAAAATACTCGATCATCAATTAATCATGTACTCGTATATAATATATAATCGTATCAACGAACACGTTACATTTTCACTAATGTATAAGACTATAAGTATTAACAAACAACTCATACATCTCTAAGCGCAATAGTTGGACTAAATAATATATGTCGTTATCAAAAAAATTAAACTAATATTGTAATCATCAAAAATTAAAAATCATACATCATGAAACACCTAATCGGATGTGGCGAGTCTGGGGACATGAATTTCAGATTTAATTAAAAAGACACCAAACATAAACTATAAAAATAAACCCTAAAAATAAATAATTAATCATGAAATTAGCCCTAAAATAAATCAAACGAAAGAAGCAAAAAGAAATTGAAAAAATAAACTAAAAATATACAAAATTAACGTGAATAACATATAAACCAATATCAAGAAAATAGATCAAAGGAAAAAAAAAAAAAAAAAAAAAAAAAACTCACAAGAATGAGATCAAAGAGGATTTTCTGGTCGACTTTGAGGAAGTCGGCATCCCATTGCTTGAGATCATCATTTTCGGATTCAGCCTTATTCTCTTCCTCGACATGTTTGTTGCAGTACTCAATGATCTTTGACAGAATTGCTGAGCTCACATTTGGCAGCGGAATTGGATCGTTGCTTTCGCCGATGTCTTCGATCAGGTTCTTGATGGTTTGAGATAGCATTGCTGCTTTTTCGTCGACCTCGAAATGCTCATTATCGGCACTCTTGAGGATTATCTTCCTGGAAAAAGCCATTGCAATTCAAAAGTAGGGAAAATTGAAGAAAAAGAGAGGAATTGAGTATTGGAGTATGAGAGAATGTGACGAGACTAAGAAAGACTAGAGCAGTATTTATAGAACTTTTGGAACAAGGGGTTTCACGTTTATTTTAAGCCCATGTAATTCCAAAAGCAATACTATATATGGTAATATACAACCTTTTTTTTTTTTTTTTTTTTTTTTTTAAACCAATGTAATCCCACAGTTTTAAGGAGTGTTTTAATAACTTATTTCTACCAATAGGGTATGTTCACATTTAATGAAATGAGCTGAATTGAATTGACCTAAACTGATTGGAGTTGAACTAAACTGATTGGAGCTAAACTAAACTGAACTGAACTAATTGGAATTGAACCAAACTAAACTGAACTGAAATTAAGTAAATGTGAACATACCCTTAAGCATAATTGTCTTAACATATCTGAACTTATTGGTTACGGAATATCGAATTAGGATAGTCATTTATTAGCATGTATAAAAACATATGACAACTTATTTACTTGTCGGTCTTATCTTATCTGGATCATCTTAACCCAACTGTAAACCTCGTGAGTCAAACAAGACTTAATTGAGTGGTTTTCGACTTTTCGTAATTAATGTTAAAACCGTAAACTAATTCCTTATATGCGTTGATTTACAAATTGTTTCCCATTGCACCATCCACATAGGATTGGTGGAAGTTTCTATTTTTAAATTATCCGAGCATCAAACTTGCTAATTAAAATAGCAGTTTTTTTTAAAAAATAATACCGCTAAATTCATTAGCGATTTTTTAAATAAAATATATTAGTTGCATAGCGATATATTTCAAAACCATTATTGTGGGGCTTGTTTTGCATCATTTTTGATTTTTAGTTTTCTGTTTTTTTAAACTAAAAACCAAAAAAGGAAACAAGAAAAAGGTGTTTCCACTTTTCTGTTGTCAGTTCTCAAAATTATCATCATTTTAATAAGTTTAAATAATTTTTTATTCATTATGTGACATATATCATATACTTTTAAAAACCAAAAAACCAAAAAACAGAAAACCACAGCGATGCCAAACGAACCCGTAATTGGCGGTTTTCATTTAATCATATTTTTACATATTGTTGGGGTTTGGTGAGTCCGACTCACCGCGGAAACAAACCCAAAAACAAGACCGCACTCGCAATAAATAAAACCATAAACATAATTAAATTAATCACAAGATTAAGATAAGCTAATTACCTTTGACGCGTGCTTCGCTCTAAAATGAGCTCCTACTTGAAAGCTTCAAGTCCCGCTCACACGGAGACCTCCAACGAAGTCCACCCGCACCAACAAAACTGACTAGGTCCAATGTCTTGGGGTTAGCAAGACCCGACTAATAAAACCCGAGTAATTATATTGAGTTCAAAGGTTTTCACTAATTGTGATGCCTTTTCCAACTCTTACTCAAGCATCATACCCAATGCCCATACTTGGGTATTTATAGGAAATGATGGGAGTATCATTTACTCTCCCTTCAATGTGGGATAGTATGATTTTTCCATTTTATTTTAAAGCTAAAATAAAATTAATAATCAAGCTAGTAATAAATCAACAAGTGGCAAGCTCATGTGAGTGGTTAGGTGAGGACCACTTGGAGAAGGGGGGGACCAAACTTGCTCTCCACTCCCTCTCCCATAACCGGCCACCTCACTCCACACACACTCAAGGACCACAAGCCACATGGCACCCACCCTTGGGCACCAAGGCAGCCAAGGTGGGTTGCCATGTGCTGATGTCCGTGGCAGCCACGCTCAGCAAGCCCAGCAGGCCCAGCACTCGCATGCGGGCTGCTGCTGGCCTTGTGCCTTGGCCAGCGCTGCTAGGCAGCAAGCAATGGCCTAGCCATGCTGCTGCTAGCTGTGGCGAGCTGGCGCACCTAGCGTGCTAGCTGTGGCGAGCTGGCGCGCCTAGCGTGCTAGCTGCTGCAGCTTGTTGCGGCATGGCTTGCTAGCCATTGCGCGCACAAGGCTGTGCCTAGCATGCTAGCACGCACTAGGCAGCGCCTAGCCTTGCGATGCTAGCATGGGTGCGCTAGCACGCACCAGCGAGCCTAGGCTCGGCTTGGTGCGCATGCTAGCCACCATGCTAGGCCATACGCCCTTAGCACTCGGTTTGCTTGGGCATTCTGATGCTAGGGGTATTTTGGTCTTTTGTTGATTTATTACTATTTCTCGTCTCGTCTTTCACTATTTTTCGACTCGACTTCCGACGCTCGGTTTCGACGCTCTAAGCTCGAATTTCCGACGTCTAAATAAATATTACTCGGTCGACTCATTAATTCCTTTCGAATTAATTCTTCGGTTCGGTTTGTTGAATGCTTGGGTGTGACCCGAAGGGTTCAGTCAAGATTAAGCTGTAATATTAATTATTCATTAATATTACTGATCGGAAGCGACCTCCACCCAGGCATTCCGATCAATTGACCTCACTGAATATATTAGCTTTCTAATAATTCTGAACCTACTAACGGAATAGTACACTTGTTCGAAGGACACCATTCCTTTCAATCTCCCACTTGTCCTTCCGGACAAGTGCGCATTTTGTGTACAACCTTTTTCATATGTCGCTTAATGTCTCTTCATGAACTATAAGGTAAGATTTATTTTGTCATCCTTATTACGTCCAGAAGTGTTTCCCGATTCCGTGTCCGACTGTCAATAAACAGATGATTTCTAAAATCCATCCGAGCACGGCCATGCATTTTACAGTCTCGCTCTACGAGAGGCGTTGTATACAACAAAGACATCTTCCCTATTTTAGTAGGGGGACATTCCTAGTCTTGTAATGTAGCTCCTCTTACTGAGAGGACCTAGTCGCCCGAGTGTTGCCGTTATAATCCCCTATTATGGCAGACGTTTGACAACATCAAAGCGAACTAGTACTCAAACAAGAGAACTCACAATACTCATGGTCGAGGAAATAGGTTCCGATAGCCATAATGAGAAGTATACTTATGAAATTTTTTTTTTAATTTCTTAAAGTATTCTCATAGGTCGATCCAGTATGGTTCTAAACCAATACCTGTGCAAATGATTTATGACAATCATGTCCTTGTAGCACATGAAACGGTGCTATAAATCAAACTACACACTAATCTTAATCGGTCATTAATCGTCCATCGTTTAAATGACCTTGATTAGGGATAATTTTCGATTATAATATTCAATGTTTACTTAATAGGTGTTTACTTACCAAGACTTGTCTTGATACCCTATTTTGAATATTCTCGGAATCAAATGGACTCATTATTTAATCCTAAACCACTATTAAATAGCATAACGGAGTAATAAAATATTGCATGAAATTTTATATTACTCCAAAACTTGAATGGTTTTCCTTAGCGTCTTACATTAATTTTTCTCAAAATTAACTAAAACACTAAACAAGGAAATCAAAGCCAGTCTCCTACATGCTTGATTCCCATTGCCTCAACGTGCTTGTTGTGCTTCACTTGAGGCAAAGGTTTAGTAAGTGGATCGACTACATTGTCATCCATTCCAACTTTGCAAATTTTGATTTCACCCTCTGATTTCCATTCTCGAATCATGTGAAATCGCCGCTTGACATGTTTGACTTTCTGATGTTCCCTAGGCTCTCTGGCCTGAGCAATAGCTCCATTGTTGTCACAATAGAGGGCTATTGAACCCTTTATAGAGGGTACAACATCAAGTTCACCAACGAACTTACGAATCCAAACAGCCTCCTTAGCTGCTTCAGCAGCTTCTAAGTATTCGGCTTCAGTTGTAGAATCTGCAGTTGTACTCTGCTTTGCGCTCTTCCAACTAAATGCCCCTCCATTTAGACAGAACACATATCCAGATTGCGATTTGAAATCGTCTCTGTCTGTCTAGAACCTTGCGTCGGTATAACCTTCCACAACTAAATCCTCTGCACCACCATACACCAGGAATTTATCCTTGTTCCTTTTCAGGTACTTTAGGATATTTTTGGCCACAGTCCAATGCGCCTCTCCTGGGTCTGATTGGTAACGACTCGTAGCACTCAAGGCATACGATACTTCTGGCCTAGTACATATCATGGCATACATGATCGATCCAATAAGAGAAGCATATGGAATCTGATTCATTCTTACCCGCTCATCAAGTGTCTGTGGACACTGCTTCTTGCTTAGGGTTATGCCATGTGACATTGGCAGGTGACCTCTCTTGGCCTCCTCCATGCCAAATCGAGCAAGTACCTTATCAATATAAGTACTCTGACTCAATCCAATCATCCTTTTCGATCTATCCCTACAGATCTTGATGCCTAATATGTACTGAACCTCTCCCAAGTCTTTCATTGAGAAGCACTTTCCAAGCCAGGCCTTTACAGACTCTAACAACGGAATGTTGTTTCCAATGAGCAATATGTCATCGACATATAAGACTATGAAGGCGATGTCACTCCCACTAACCTTCTTGTAAACACAAGATTCATCTGGATTCTTGATTAAACCAAACTTACTGATGGCTTCATCGAATCGCAGATTCAAACTTCTGCTTGCTTGCTTTAGTCCATAAATGGACTTCTTAAGCTTACAAACTTTCCTAGAACTGTTTTAGTCGACAAAACCTTCAGGCTGTGTCATATACACAGTTTCTTCCAAATAACCATTAAGGAAGGCGGTTGTCGTTCATCTGCCATATTTCATATTTATAATATGCAGCAATCGCTAGGAGGATCCGAACGAATTTAAGCATTGCGACTGGTGAAAAGGTTTCATCGTAATCAATACCATGAACTTGTCTGTAACCTTTTGCCACCAATCTAGCTTTGTAAATGAATACATTTCCATCTTTGTCGGTTTTCAACTTGAAAATCCACTTACATCCAATAGGTGTATAACCTTTGGGTAAGTCAACCAAGTCCCAGACTTGATTTTCGAACATGGAATCCATTTCAGATCTTATGGCCTCTTGCCATTTAGTAGAGTCGGTGCTTGCCATCGCTTGCTTGTAGGTTGCCGGTTCATCTCCATCCATAATCAGGATGTCCTGATTCTCAGTTAATACTAAACCAAGATATCTATCAGGTTGAGATCTCGGCCTCTGAGACCTACGTAGGGTAATGGATTGAGCATTTGCATTGTCGGTTCGACTTTGCACATTTTGATGATTTTGACCTGCGTCAACATATGCTATTTGAGCACTTTGACTTTCATTATGATTTTGTTGCTCATCCTCACAAACTTCGTCGAGTTCGATTTTCCTCCCACTTGTCATTTTGGAAAGGTGCTCCTTCTCCAAAAAGACACCATCGCGAGCAAC